GCGAAACTAACATCAGCAACTATAACGCCTGCATTGCTAGCCACTTGAGAAATGAGAACGAGTGTAGATACCAAGAAAAGTAGTAAATGACAAAAGAAATACTATAGAACTTTGTCTTCTGTTAAAGGGAGAGTGGAAGTTTTTTTTTTTTTTTTTTTTTCGCCACAAACCGTCATAGTTGTCTTTGGTGACTCTGAGCTGGGTATCACTATGGATGTATCGCGGTATTGTTTATAGTAAGACTTTTCCATCTAAATATTATTGAGATTTAGTCATCAAATAGAGCTTTCTATTTTACACTCTCTCTAATCATGCTGAGTGTAAGAATTTAGTCTTTGACAACCGAGTTCTTTTTCATGCGAAATTATCCTTGCCAATAACCTTTTCTAAACCCCGATTCCCCTATAAATATTTTGACTTTTTACCTTTTTTTTACTTTTCTTTTCTTTCGCTTTTCTCTTTATTCACTTTCTATCGAATCAAGTAAAACAAAATTACATGACTGATGTAACTAAAGCCTGTTTTATGAAAAAAAAATGCGTGTCACTAATGGAATCCAATAGAGAAACTCCAACAAGCGAAAGCGATTGACAAGCGCTATTCGATCGTACTTACCCTCCTGGTATGAACCAGTTGATCAGGAGAATAACAAAGGTAAAAAATAGAAAGAAACACTTCCTTCCTTCAGAAAAAAAAACTTACCACTTGCATACTTTGTTTAGCAGACACAATCCATCAATTACAAATGAAGGTGGAAAAACTTGAAACTGAGAAACGTGATCTTAGTCTACAAGTAGAGCGATCAACAATCTCACATGATTTGTCAATCAAAGACAGCACAAAAAAAATTGCAAAGCTCATCAGTGAGCGAAACGTAAGTTATATCATCGATAGTACCTTGACAGATAAAAGTAACATAGATTATAGAATTACAAAGCACTGGCTGTCCTGAATCGAAAACGCGCAGCCGTGTCAACCCGGACTTTGACGGCAGTAAAAAAGCTGTTCAATGATAATACGGTAACTTTTTTTTTCAGCGACATACCACCTTCATGAGACTCATAAAAAAACTTTTTTTGTTTTAAAAAAAAGGAAAAATTAAGGAGGGCATTCATCGAAAAGAGGGAACTCGAAGATGAAGTCAGCCGACAAGAGTATTATCATAAAAATTATGTAGAAGAAAATGAACGTTGCGCAGCACAAAATAATGTGACGTTTAAATACTACCAGAATTTGACTGTCAAGCTTAAAGACGACGTAATATTTATAGAAACACATGCTGGATTGAGATTTTTATTGACTTTCTTCTATTGTATAGCTTCAGCTCCAGGAAGCAAAGGTTAAAGAATCCACAGCAAGAGAACTTGCTTTAATAAAAAGAGTTTCCGAGTTGGAAAGTCAGGCTGCTCAAACGGCTACAGGCACAACAAATGGTTTGGAAGACTCGCTTACAGCAGACTACACACGTAAACATCTTCTCATATACACAGCACCACTATTACTTCTATATGTATCCTAACAAACCTTCTTCCTTTAGATGTTTGTAATAAGTTAGCTGAAATCCAAACAGAATATAAAAAACTCGAGAAGGAATTACAGCACTTCAAAAGCCTAAATCAGAATATCGAATATTTGAAAGAAGAAAACAATTCGTTACAAGAAAGACTGAAAGGCTTATCAGACATCGAAAACCAGAAGCTGTCTGTAGATATTGACAATGCTAATCTTCGAGCAGAGAGAGACTCTTGGACACGTTACTTGAGCACCGTTCCCGAATTTACTCATCAAACACCCGGCACAATAGTCTACAACTTGACAAAGCAAGCAGACCAAGCAGAGTATTTGCAGACAAAAGCGACATTCTTGGAAAAAGAATTGCTCGATAAAACAGAGCTTTTAAAATTGATGGAGAACCACGTCCGTGATGTCAAAGTTGCAATTTTAAAGAAAGATCGGGAAAACGTCTTGTTGTGTGAAGAAAACAAGTTAAGCAGCGAGAGAGAAAGCATGCTTAAGGAACATATTGGTACCTTGACATCTCAGTTACGTCTCTATGATGAAGCAGAAGTAGCCGAGTCTGAAACGACTAATGATGAAATGAAGACGCTGCGTATTTCCCAGCTCGAAGAAAATTTTCGTAACGTCCAGAATAGATTCGTTGAAGAGGGTAAACTTTACATCAAGACTTTGTCAATGACTTTTTCTCCTCCCGTCGAAAACGGTCCTTATGAAAAGCTCACATCTGGCGCCAGAATCACTGAGTTCTTGGAAAACATTCACAATGATAAGGAATCAGCTCTCGAAGGTATTTAGAAATCATATTTTATTTTATTATTTAGATGTATAAGTTAATTGGTATTATGATTAGCTTTCACGGAATTTAAGAATGAAGTTAAGCAGCATTTCTCACTTAATTCTCGTATGAATACTCGGGAAGAAGAAATCCCCATCAAACAAGAACCACTTCCATCGCCTGTACAAGAATCATACTCATTCGTGGCACCTATCATCACACAAGAGAAATCACCGTCACCGCCACCTTTACCCACACAGGATATACCCTCTGGTTCGCATGTGCATTTATTCGAAGATAATCCAACTTCTCAGATGCTCGCAATCCATCAAAATCATTTGAACAGATTAAAAAAGGAAAATAAGGACTTAATACAATTACGATTGGACGAAAACCCCAATGTCGACCTTGTGGTCCTTCCCAAAACAAGCATCATCAATCTTTCTAAAGAGCTGGATAGATTTCAAGCCGAACGTGATGTACTTTTAAAGCGTTTCGATAGAGCACACACAGTCTGGAATGTAAACTTTGATTCTGCAGACGAACCGGGACAGATGGAGGTCGAAAGAGTGGCCGAATATAATGATGAAGAAGAAGAATATGAAGAGCCGGATCATCATTTGGCTTATTTGGGCTACAAAAGCGCTCGACATGTGGATACTATGGATGAGGATGAACTTCAAGCGTATGAGGAAGGCTTGTCCGGATCCACGTTGAACGACTTGGAGGATGATGATTCTGCTGCAGAAGACGAACTAGATTATTATGAATCAGGGGATAGAGAATCTAGCTACGACGCTGTTATTTGAATTACGCATTATAATTTTAGCAGAAGGTGCACGAGACAACAAGTCTTGATAAAGAGTTTCTTAAGTTTTACTTTATATCCATTATTAATATACCGCCTATGTATTATCTCGCAATAAAAAATACTAGTTAAAAATGTGAATTAAGGACTGCAAGAAAGATTAACGCCAAAATAGAAAACTAAACAATAGCACATACTTTTGCCATTAGTGTAACCGATCGATTCATTTTTCTGGTTGGTTACACACAGCGTTCCTATACTGAAAAACAAAATACCAAGATTTATATTGCAAAACATATGTCACAATTTATGTACACGATTTTTCTAGAAATCGATTTAAACAATATCCAAAAGCAGTAAGTTCATGAACCTTCCATGGTAAAAAAAAAAAAAAATTAACAAAAGAAGCGTGCCTTTATTATAAATTGTGTGGTATCATGATTTGTTTTTGTTCTTTTTTAAGAGGTTTTAATGGTTTACAAGCGGTTTCTTTGTCCCATTGTTTCCCTTGTAAAGTGACAGCCTTGTTAAATTTCTGCTTGTTCCTTTAAGATTCTACTTGTCACAATCCAGATAGCACTTGAGTGGCATATTTTTCTTTTTGTTATTGTCGTTTTAGTGTTTTAAATGAGTGATTAATCTATACCTTATAATATATTATGAGAATGGAAATAAAGATGGAAAAGGTGTTGAAATGATAAACACGTACGAACTTGATGCCATATAATTTTTCATTTGAAGCAGCTGTTCAGTCCCAAAGGTGAGACGCTATAGAGCGAAGAGAAGCCTACCGTTAATATCTGATCCAAAAACGAAATACACCTTTTCATCCAAACACTGAGGCTCCTGAAAAAATTGCACCTTGGAGTCAAACATAACAACATTTACATTGGTGGAAAATAATACAAGAACGATACGGATACTTATCCTTGAACCTATTCAGACATAGCACCATGTATAATCTACTTCTGAAATGCCCCCAGAGTATCTATTATACAACAAATAAATAGTAAAAAAAAGCATGTAACATTGTCTTGATATAGGATGATATGAAGGAATGGTACCTGTCACTTTTCAAAAAAATAAATAGGGCTTTATTTTTAAGGGGAGACGTTTCTATCAGTTCGATCATGATTTTACATTTTATGGGTGCTAGACATAACCTGCTTATTCTTTTTTTTGTGCGTTAAGTTGCACCAAGTTACATTTTATTGAATGGTCGGTTTCTTTTTTTCGTAAGAGATGCTTCCTAACGATCATTTCAAGATAAAAAGGGAGTCTTTTACGGTGTTAAGTTCGTAAATAGTTTCCTTACATAGATAGTTGTAATAACTACATATGTGTATTGGTTCACAGGAGAGGCGACTTTTTATATTAACTATTTACAAAAGTAATCTTTAAGCCAGACTAATTGATGTGTGCATAATTAATATTTGATTTCTAACGACGCAAGATACTGAAATTATACTGAATGGTTCTATAAAAGGAAGTTTTCAGTTATATTCTCATAAAAGAAAAGTGATTAGAAAATGAAACTTGTTTAAAAGAAGAAAGTTTCATTAAGGAAATTCAGGCATTCCACGGTAAATGAGAACGGCCATTGTGGGGCATTTTTGTTTAAAGGTAATTAAGTTGCAGGGATATGTAAATATTTATTTTTTGAAAGGACAAAGTTCAAAGTCAACAATCCTGAACACGAGTACACCGCCCATTATAGAGGTATTGATATTTTGAATTCCACCCTTGTTAATAGAATAGAGGTTTATTGGTGTTACTGCGGGAAACTGAAGGTGGTTTTAACACATATTTTGTTAGACAGGTTTACAACACGATGACACAAAGCTCACCAATATCTGACATCCCATCATAAATAGAGGTGTTTTTCAACGATCTCTTTTTTCATAAAGATGGCCAGGAGATACAAATTACTGAAGAGAACTTTCGTGTTGGAATCATGGACATACGTCTTAAGATCTCCAAACACATGAGTAGAATTAGAGTGATAATGAGCGCAGACTTTACCAAAAAGAAAAAGGCATGTATAAAAAGGAAAAGAAAAAAATGTAACCTCTTACAATGCTTCATGCCTGTTTTTTTTCACTTGCGTACAAGATAATTTCCTTCGACATAGGTAAAGCACTCGAATTCATGTCATCCCAACTAAATTTATACACCCCACGTATGAAATGTTATTGTTGTATACGAGAAGCACTTTTTTTTACATTCGAAATATGATTATAATACCTCTTGTTTTTATTTGATAATATATGGTAGTACTTACTTTGTACTGGTATTTTGTTTTTGGTGAGGAAAATATGACATTTATAATTAAGTATCTATAGCTATGCGACACGATCAGTTTGGCCAAACTAGGCTTTTTGATGTGCTTGAACTTTTATTTGCTAATTACAATTTACATGACTGTATTACTGCTTGACTTAAGAACATATAAACCACCGGCCTTTGTGTGGTCAAGTTTGACAGCAACATGTCCTCATCATCTAGAGTGTCTGCTCAAGTTTTTAGTAAACAGCTCTCTATCGAACTCTCAATTATATTTGTTTGATACTTTGATTACATAGTGTCATACCAAATGTCCCACGGTCTTTCCTATAAAGTTTTTACAATGGAGGATCAAGGCATATATAAAATAATGTGGTATTACTAATGCTACAATTGTTTCATTAAAACTAATTACATTATTTCCATGTGATTGTCTGCCCTTCATTGTTTTTAATTTGGGTCTGTTTGCTGAACATTTGCTTATAGGTGCCATCTGCAATGGCTAAGACTTTTACAAAGTCGAGCAAAAAGATATTGCTAAGCTAGATCTGACATATACGGAGAAAAGTGTGTTTATCTTTAGTCAGGTAAATCTTTAGATACATGATCTGTGCTGTTTTTATAAATCGACATTGCTAGATCTACGATACAAGTTTTTTTCTTCTGCTTTTCATACTTTATAATTTAATTTTTCCACCTCTTGTCTACTCTTGTCCAGCTCTTGTTTAGATTACCTTCATTGTAAAAGTAGGCGTATGCAAGTAAACCCAAAAAGAGGGATATGAAAGTAGATCCGCTTTTACAAATTAAAGGAATACACCACCCGACCCGACACTCTAACAATGGCGCTTTATACCAAGGAGTTTTTGCTGCTTTGTGTGCGCGCCATGATCTCCCTTTTAAGATAATAGTTATGGATAGTGGCGAAGGATATTACAAATTAATTTATGTAAACTCTAATTTCTATTTGAAAATTCAAATATCCATCATCTGTTCTTCGCGATCTATTTAAAGAGGACAAGGACAGCCTTCAAACGCCCATTAATATGATGTACAGTACTATCTGTGCCTTGTAGAAGTCACTAACGGTAAATCTCACGTGATACCATTGGCGTATGTATGAATACTAAAGTAATCTTATGGCAGACAAACTTCCAGTGCTTGACTGTTCATGGCACTCTGGCACTCCCTGTTTTTAAGCTATTAGCTGTCAGTCCAGCGTTAATCCCAAAAATATTAAAGAACAGGGAGTGCCAGATACCTTCAGGCAGTCCCGCCCAGTAAACACCAAGGTATAACCTCAAAATTGATCTGCTTTTACACTTTTCAAAAGCCAAAAAAATTGTGTAAATAATCATTCACAAAATTTTGAGTATTCATGTTTTCCATGGCGCGTTTTAGCATATCAGAAACACGCACACCCTTCCTTTTCTATAGTATCCATGTCATTTTAAATATTTTCTATGAATGACACTCTTCCGTCCATGTATTCTGTTTCCTTGATCCTTTTTACTTGTAGAAAGCGCTTGACTTGGTTTACTCATTTCTCAGTGTAAATAATCGTAGCGAAGGAGCGTTTTGGTGCTCAAAAATAAGTGCATATACACCAAGTGCATGAATTTGATTGCCGTGTAACAAGTGGGCGAAATGCTTAATTCGAGATCAATGTTACCCAGCTCCCCCGCCTTAATATTTAACTATCGCTAGCCATCTTTTGTCATCGACAACTGTACCCGTTGTATTCATAAGAAAATCGCCATTAAATCCACTCTTTATCACTTCATGGTCTCTATCTTTCCATCACTCAGCTGCTTCCTTTGTCATAATCTCATCAATAAAGAGAACTGTAAGTTCGTCTACTTGTGCTTTACCTTGCCTCGATTCTGAATTTCAGCTCTTTTTTCATTTTCTTCCCTCATTACGATAAATAGAGGTCCTTTAAATAAAAAACAGTAACCCCGCCAGAACTTCTTTTGAATCACCTGGTAGTTATGGTAAGTTAAAATTTATGTAATAACACAAAGACAAAATTATTGTAAAAACGTTAATCAGCAAGTACTTTAGCATGAAGGGGGAATGTCGACTTATTTTTAAGGTTTAACTTTGTAAAGAATTGAAGATCATCAGCGAAACTAACATCAGCAACTATAACGCCTGCATTGCTAGCCACTTGAGAAATGAGAACGAGTGTAGATACCAAGAAAAGTAGTAAATGACAAAAGAAATACTATAGAACTTTGTCTTCTGTTAAAGGGAGAGTGGAAGTTTTTTTTTTTTTTTTTTTTTCGCCACAAACCGTCATAGTTGTCTTTGGTGACTCTGAGCTGGGTATCACTATGGATGTATCGCGGTATTGTTTATAGTAAGACTTTTCCATCTAAATATTATTGAGATTTAGTCATCAAATAGAGCTTTCTATTTTACACTCTCTCTAATCATGCTGAGTGTAAGAATTTAGTCTTTGACAACCGAGTTCTTTTTCATGCGAAATTATCCTTGCCAATAACCTTTTCTAAACCCCGATTCCCCTATAAATATTTTGACTTTTTACCTTTTTTTTACTTTTCTTTTCTTTCGCTTTTCTCTTTATTCACTTTCTATCGAATCAAGTAAAACAAAATTACATGACTGATGTAACTAAAGCCTGTTTTATGAAAAAAAAATGCGTGTCACTAATGGAATCCAATAGAGAAACTCCAACAAGCGAAAGCGATTGACAAGCGCTATTCGATCGTACTTACCCTCCTGGTATGAACCAGTTGATCAGGAGAATAACAAAGGTAAAAAATAGAAAGAAACACTTCCTTCCTTCAGAAAAAAAAACTTACCACTTGCATACTTTGTTTAGCAGACACAATCCATCAATTACAAATAAAGGTGGAAAAACTTGAAACTGAGAAACGTGATCTTAGTCAACAAGTTGAGCGATCAACAATCGCACATGAGTTGTCACTCAAAGACAGCTCAAAAAAAATTGCAAAGCTCATCAGTGAGCGAAACGTAAGTTATATCATCGATAGTACCTTGACAGATAAAAGTAACATAAATTATAGAATTACAAAGCACTGGCTGTCCTAAATCGAAAACGCGCAGCCGTGTCAACCCGGACTTTGACGGCAGTAAAAAAACTGTTCAATGATAATACGGTAACTTTTTTTTTCAGCGACATACCACCTTCATGAGACTCATAAAAAAACTTTTTTTGTTTTAAAAAAAAGGAAAAATTAAGGAGGGCATTCATCGAAAAGAGGGAACTCGAAGATGAAGTCAGCCGACAAGAGTATTATCATAAAAATTATGTAGAAGAAAATGAACGTTGCGCAGCACAAAATAATGTGACGTTTAAATACTACCAGAATTTGACTGTCAAGCTTAAAGACGATGTAATATTTATAGAAACACATGCTGGATTGAGATTGTTATTGACTTTCTTCTATTGTATAGCTTCAGCTCCAGGAAGCATCGGTTAAAGAATCCACAGCAAGAGAACTTGCTTTAATAAAAAGAGTTTCCGAGTTGGAAAGTCAGGCTGCTCAATCGGCTACAGGCACAACAAATGGTTTGGAGGACTCACTTACAGCAGACTACACACGTAAACATCTTCCCATATGCACAGTATCACTATTACTTCTATATGTATCCTAACAAATCCTCTTCCTTTAGATGCTTGTAATAAGTTAGCTGAAATCCAAACAGAATATAAAAAACTCGAGGAGGAATTACAGCACTTTAAAAGCCTAAACCAGAATATCGAATATTTGAAAAAAGAAAATAATTCGTTACAAGAAAGACTGAAAGGCTTATCAGACATCGAAAACCAGAAGCTGTCAGTAGATATTGATAACGCTAATCTTCGAGCAGAGAGAGACGCTTGGACACGTTACTTGAGCACCGTTCCCGAATTTACTCATCAAACACCCGGCACAATAGTCTACAACTTGACAAAGCAAGCAGACCAAGCAGAGTATTTGCAGACAAAAGCGACATTCTTGGAAAAAGAATTGCTCGATAAAACAGAGCTTTTAAAATTGATGGAGAACCACGTCCGTGATGTCAAAGTTGCAATTTTAAAGAAAGATCGGGAAAACGTCTTGTTGTGTGAAGAAAACAAGTTAAGCAGCGAGAGAGAAAGCATGCTTAAGGAACATATTGGTACCTTGACATCTCAGTTACGTCTCTATGATGAAGCAGAAGTAGCCGAGTCTGAAACGACTAATGATGAAATGAAGACGCTGCGTATTTCCCAGCTCGAAGAAAATTTTCGTAACGTCCAGAATAGATTCGTTGAAGAGGGTAAACTTTACATCAAGACTTTGTCAATGACTTTTTCTCCTCCCGTCGAAAACGGTCCTTATGAAAAGCTCACATCTGGCGCCAGAATCACTGAGTTCTTGGAAAACATTCACAATGATAAGGAATCAGCTCTCGAAGGTATTTAGAAATCATATTTTATTTTATTATTTAGATGTATAAGTTAATTGGTATTATGATTAGCTTTCACGGAATTTAAGAATGAAGTTAAGCAGCATTTCTCACTTAATTCTCGTATGAATACTCGGGAAGAAGAAATCCCCATCAAACAAGAACCACTTCCATCGCCTGTACAAGAATCATACTCATTCGTGGCACCTATCATCACACAAGAGAAATCACCGTCACCGCCACCTTTACCCACACAGGATATACCCTCTGGTTCGCATGTGCATTTATTCGAAGATAATCCAACTTCTCAGATGCTCGCAATCCATCAAAATCATTTGAACAGATTAAAAAAGGAAAACAAGGACTTAATACAATTACGATTGGACGAAAACCCCAATGTCGACCTTGTGGTCCTTCCCAAAACAAGCATCATCAATCTTTCTAAAGAGCTGGATAGATTTCAAGCCGAACGTGATGTACTTTTAAAGCGTTTTGATAGAGCACACAAAGTCTGGAATGTAAACTTTGATTCTGCAGACGAACCAGGACAGATGGAGGTCGAAAGAGTGGCCGAATATAATGATGAAGAAGAAAAATATGAAGAGCTGGATCATCATTTGGCTTATTTGGGCTACAAAAGCGCTCGAACTGGGGATACTATGGATGAGGATGAACCTCAAACATATGAGGAAGGCTCGTCAGGATCTACGTTGGATGACTTATGGTATTATACTGCTGCAGAAGAAGAAGAAGTTCTTAAGTTTACTTTATATTCATTATGAATATACCGCCCATGTATTTTCTCGCTAAATCTACGATACAAGTTTTTTTTTTTTTTTTTTTTTTTTTTTTTTTTTTTTTTTTTTGCTTTTCATACGTTACCCTGTCTACCCCTTGTTTAAGTTACCTTCATTTTAAAAGTATGAGTATTTAGGTAAACCCAAAAGAGGGATATGAAGCTAAACCTGTTTTTACAAAATGAAGGAATAAATCACCCAGCCCGACACTAACAATGGCTTCATACCAAGGACTTTTACTGCTTCGTTTGCGCGCCGTAACCCCCCCCCCCTCCTCAATATGCAATAAATATGAGCCTATGTGGTGTATGTAGCACAGGTACGTACCATCCGCTTGTACTCTCTAGCTGTATCTTGCAAAAGGCATTTAAAATGGCATTGTCTTCATCACTCAGTCATGATGGCTATGAAAGTGATAAGTGTCATTGGATATGCTCAATCATTACATTGCTTGCAATGAATATTTATCGTGGATGAGAAAGACCGCGTTAGTATCTATCGTTCAATGAAACTGATATTTTTTTGGCGAATTTTAAAGTACAAAAAGCCGCTGCTGAAACAGCTGCTCTTTTATGTCCTCGTGCATGAGCATATAGGACAAGGATGTGTATTTTTTTTTTATTTTTGATAAAACTGTACACAAATAATCAGTTTTAAGGTAAATAGTAGTAGTAGTAGTAATAATAGATAATAGTAAGGTAAAAAAAAAGGAAACAAAAAAAAAAAAATTAAGAAGCAACTACGGTTAACTTTCCTAATCTCAAAGCGGATTCGAATATATCATGATTTAATTCTACCAAACCATTGGGCTCCTTGGATTGAAGCTGAGCATGAAAACCAAGTCGATCAATAATCTTGCTCTTTAAAATCTCAAATGTACTTGAGCTTGGTATCTTGATGGCAAAAATCTCATCCTTGTAAATGATTTTAACCTTTACCGTACTCTTTGTTGCTCCCCCCGTGACTGATGCCGCTGCTGATGATGATGACGGTGCTGGTGCTAGCGGTGCAGCTGTCGAGGCTTGTAAAATGGGTGAGTCGTTTCGTCGACCAATACCAGGATCCAAATCCGTCTCAATATCACCTTCATGAATACCAAATAATTGATCTTGAACCCATGCACTTTCAGACAAATATCGAGGTAACTTGATAAGGTCGTCGCAGTACTTTGATAGATCCCGGGCTCTATCAGCTGAATGATAACATGTAACATGAGTAACCTTAAAAAAGCCATACAACTTTAACAATATTTTACCTGTGATATCATCATTGACTGAATCCAACGGTCCCGGCATGTAAGGCAAAATTCGATCACGATCTTGTTTGCCTGCCTCTGCTGGAAACTCTTGCAAAAAGTTTATCTGAAAGTCATAGAAATCTGTAGGTAATTAAAAAGAGATATATTAGGGATTTCATCCATTGTTGTCCGAGATAAACGTTGAAAATCTCTACCTTCGTATAATCGATATAACACACGGTGCTTTCCATTAGCCAAAGTAGCAAATACAATAAACCAGTATTGATCGCCCTCCAGAATATGTGAATCGATGTAAGCGGATGTGACCATAGAGCCTTCATCTGTATGTCTTCTGGTGGCGGAAATGGTTGATGTAGGTATAGGGGAATCGATCAGGGAAGAAGATGAGGTATTCACAAGATGTGTCATGCCATAATTATTCAACATGGCGTCTGGGTGTGGACTATCCTTCATGTTATAATAGTCATTCACAGGATCTTCCTCTTCCTCCGAGATTGCCACTGTTTGCATCTGTCTTTCGATTTGTCCAAGTGAAATACTCGATGCTTCATAGCCTTGTGTTTGTTTCTTCCAATCTTCGACGTTTGGAAATACTGAATTGGAAGGTGTATGCATCACGTCGTTTTTTACTGTACGTCCCGTCGAAGCGTCTCGAATGTCTACAAAGGAGACAGGGATCAAACCTGGACCACCAAGGCGACCAATGGGTTTGGCTACAAACCATTCTGAATTTGATTGGGCGATAATAATGATCGGTTCTCCTGCTTTGGCGTCCAATTCGTCTGATCTTTCAGCCTGAAAGTCATACAAGACGATGCCGTACAACGGTTGAGGTTTAGCGTGGGCTAAAAATAAATGGATGATCGATCAGACACACACACATATATATATATCATTAGAATTGGATTTTACCTTCGTCCTCTCTTTTATGATGATGGGATTGGACGGAATCGACCATAGCTCGTTCATGTTTTTCTAAAATTTGGAAATAGGGCACAGGTACGACACCACGTGAATTTGTAATTGGATTAAAGGCTTCATAAAAACTGCTTTCGCCTTCAGCACCGGTCACCAAAAAGAAATCGCCTCGGGTGAAGGATAGCTCGTTGGGACTTTGTGCCTGGTAATCGTATAAAGCCTTGATGACTTTCTTGGGTGCAACGGTGGTGGTTTGAATAACAGGTGTAGAGATCTTATTCTTGACAACGGACAGTCGAGCTGTTCTCAAACTTCGTGGCACCTTAATTTTCTCTTTTGGTTGAAACATGATGATGAACTCCAATGTTTAAAAAAAAAAAAAAAAAGGGAGGGAAAAAACAAGAAAAAGGGGAAAGCAATAGGGACGGGGGGCGAATTTTTACAAAAATAACTGAGTTACATTCACACTTGTCATACACATTTGATGAATGTCAAATTATCTTCTTGGATTGCCCCCTCTCTTCTTTTTAAAACTGCTTATACATCAAAAAAATAGAGTCGAATTTAAACTTTGACATCTTTTTAGACCCTGTTCCCATAGTTACAGTATGATCTTGTAACTGTCGTTAAAACCTTCTTTTTTTTTTGGTGGGCGCACACATTGAAAAAAGGTCACAAAAGAATCCCCGCCCTGCTTTTTTTTCTTCTTTAAAGCCGACCCCCCTCTTCCCCCTTTTCTTACAACTTGACAGCTAATTGTAACATGAACCGTACATTAATAAAAAACTTGTTGACTCTTAAACCTAAAGGTATAAAGATTTCTTGTACACCATACAGTAATTCTTCTAACACTTTCTTCTGATCGATACTAGAATGTCACCGATCTTATGCAATCATGACAAGAGCAAAGCATCGTGCCGGAATCCCAGTATCCGAGGCTCCCAAGCCCAAAAAAATCCAACAAACCACTACCAATAAAGAACTTGGCCCAGAACAAAAAGCACAATTACAAGCCCGTTTACAAAACTTGCATTTTCGAAAACCTGCAGGTAACCTTTCTTTGACGAAATTTTGCCAGCAAAAAGAAAAATATATTTATTCCTATCTTAGGTATCAATGAGAGATTAGTCAAGGTCACCAAGGAAATCGTTCAACCCGAAAACCCTCACTTGATCAAAGTAGCAGTGATCGGTGCAGCCAATGCAGGAAAATCCACACTTGTCAATAAGATTGTCGGAGAAGAAGTAAAAATCAAAAAAATACATCCATTGGGGGTCTTTTACTCACTAACTTCCTCTCATAGATATCAGGCGTTTCACCAAAAGCACATACAACCCGTGAGAGAATCTTGGCAGTACTGTCAGAAAACAATCACCAAGTCGTCTTTTTGGATACACCAGGTGTCATTCCAGATCACAATCATGCCAAAATGAACCGTACACTCTCTACTTCCTCCTGGAGAGCATTAGATGAAGCGGATCACGGTAAATTATATACAACAAAAAAACATGAGAATTGATGAAAAAAAAAGTTTCTAATCCTTACTTATAGTGCTTGTGGTGGTGGATGCTGGAAGATCTCTTCAACCTAAAGCTCGTGTAACAGAAGACTTTTTGTTGGAAAGACTCAAGGATTTGAATATTCCTGCAACATTAATTTTCAACAAGGTACGAGATAAAACACGTTGCCTGCTTGTTTTTTTATGAAAACGACTAATCGTAGACCATAGATGGATTTGATTTATGAGGATCGCGAATCACTTTCAGAAGTTCAAGAGAGATACGTGCAAGGATATACTCAATTCAAAAACACATTACATATTTCTGCAGTATACGAAGAAGGATTAACACAAGTCAAGGTAAATGTGCCCCTCAACATTTTCCTTTTTATCGAATAGGATTCTCATCAAAATCTCTTTTAGAATATTCTTTTTGAGCATTCGACTGCTAAACCATGGATCTACCCCGTTGAACAAAAGACCGAGATGGCGGATTTAAAACGAGTGGAAGAAATGATTCGTATACAATTCTTTAAACGTCTCCATCAATATATACCGTACATGTTGAAACAAGAAAATGCTGGATGGACCGTATTAAAAGACGGTACACTCCGTATCGATCAAAACGTTTATGTAGAACGTGATAGTCAACAAAAGATCGTGGTCGGCACCAATGGTCGAATCATCAACAGTGTGGTGGAGGAAGCCAGAGATCAAATCAGTAAAGCCTTTAACCGACCTGTCAAATTATTCCTTCAAGTCAAGACCAGAAAAAATAATATCAGTAATCAATAATTTTTTTAACTCACTTTTTTGTTATACTGTTTGTTTATTCAATAATATTGCATCAATTCTTCCCATACCATCTATAAAAGCATGCTTATCTAATAAACCCTTGTGATCTGGATCACATTCCTTCCATACACGACCCAACTCTTCATTGGACAATTTACTCTTGAGCCAGATAAATCGCGCCGTCTCACCATCCACATACCCATCATCCTGAATCGAATCAAACAGAATCTCATACCGATGTCGACTGCCATCCTCGATCACATTGGACTTGTTGCGACTTCTGGAAGGCGGAGGTGGAGGCGCTGCCTTCTTGATGGGTTTGCTATCGACCATCGTATGTGGCTTTAAAACACTGCTGGATTTGGGTTTCGTCAATACTGTAGACCAATCCACGCTGGTATTGCTGCTAGGATTCGTGGCGGATCGTGCTCGGTTTAACAACGACGAAGGCTTCAAATTCACATCGGCGTTCGCATCCTCCGATCGCCAGCTATCCAAACTAGGTCGACTACCATAGCTCGCCACCACCCCAGGTAACGCTGCAGCGGCCTTGTTCGTTACTGCTGCTGGCTTGGCCTGTTGAGACATCGCCAGAGGCTTAGGTCCCGTACGCGCGGGTTCCGCGTCCCTTTTTTCGGCATTTTTAGACAGTAAGATTTCAATAGATGACATGGTGGGTTTGGGTTGAATCGGTGGCGGATTAGATGTACTACGAGATTTCGTGGAAACCGGTCTGGGTGGGAGTGAAGGTTGGGCATTCAAAACGGGTTTTGGTTTCAAAATGGGTGGAGGCACGCCTGTCTTTTCAATTTCCTTTACTACCACTGCCACTGGTGGCGTATGTATCGATTTTGTTGTCGTAGTCGTCGTCGTCTTTGTAGAGCTGGATCGATGGTTTTGACGGGATCTTCGACTGGCTGTGGATACAGGTCTTGATGGTAACCGAGGCATGGGATTACTGGACGGCAGATCAAGCTTAGAAGATCCAGGTGGATCCGACGCCTTTGTGGATAAAGAGAGCTTGGGTGTCACCAAAGCGGGTTTTTTCCACGCGACAGGTTTAGATGATGTAGACGCCATCTGTTGAGGTAACACCTGTTGCTGCTGTCTTTGACGAAGTTGCGATGGTTTTACCATTTGGTAACCATCTTCATCTTCCACATCATTCTGACCGATGTCGGGTGACTTGAATAATCCAACCAGTGGTACCGCACTGGTTTTAGAGGAGGAAGAGGAAGAAAAGGAGCTAGAGCGTAGACTGGAAGGTGGTGGTGGAGGGCCTTTACTGAGAGCGAGTTCAAGCGCACCTTTTGTGTTACCTACTAATTGAGAAGGTTTTAATACGGTTTTGTTGCTAAGAGCAGTGGAAGCTGAATAAGAACGAGAACGAGTGGGTGAAAGCATGGGCTTTTCTGAAATTGTGGGCGGTGTTGCTATTCTCTTGATACTCGTATTTAATTTGGGTTTGACGATGGGAGGATGGTTGCTTATGCTGGGTGCGGAAGAGGCTGATTTGAAGCTTTTGCTAGACATGGCGAGCTCAAAGGCATCGAGAGCGGGGAATCCAGGCAGGCTGGTCTTTTCTGTTGTCGTTGGACTTGATTTGTTTGCTGGTATTGTAATGTTGGCAGTCTTGGGGCTGCTCGCATTGGATATACGTTCGACGTAATTATAGGGAAATAGACCTCGTTCAGAACTATTTTCTATTGTTCCAATGTACCAACCATCTTCGCCCGATTCCTCAACATCGATTAATATGTCACCCTCTTTAAAAGAAATCTCTCCGGGCTCATCAGCAGAACAGTTAAATACTGCTCTCATTTTCATCTTGGTGGCCATGGAATAAAAGGTAGATTGAATGGAGGATAAACAAAAACCTAAAAATAAATATTTATCTCCAAGGTAAAAAAAGTGTGTATGCCATCGGAGAGTCAACCCCCCAATAATTGTTTACACAAAGCTGGCTTTAGCTTTTTTTTTATTATTATTAAAAATTGTGAGGTTATTAACGATACTAGTTAACGCACTTCGTTCCCAAGCAGACAATTGGTTTTTTAAAGGAAGTACCTAATAAAGTTACAGAAATTGTCGCGAAAAGATGTATCTGCCTCATTTAGTAAAACAGACCTTGGAACTATTCAATGCCAACCTGGTGGGTCTACACGCACATCCTCTTATTATGGTCATACTCACAGTATGCATCCTCCGAGTAGAAATAAATGGTTAGCATCATTTTTGTTTAGCATGCAGCTCCCAGATTTTTTACTTTTTAGTGCAAGCACTTTAGCTTATACATGTATGATCTTCCTCAAGAAAACAGTATATATTCATACCTCTCACCGCATTTATCACGAATGTATAATTGAAAGATTTAAAAGGCCTAGTCGGTATCAATATATGCAAAACTGGTGATATGAATATGAAATACAAACCCTCCATCTGTACAGATGTCATAAATATTTATCACACAGGTTCACAAACCTGCTTCCAAAAAATTGCTGCTAAATCGCTGGCCTTTGTTGAAAAATCAAGTTCGTTCGACAGTCGAACATGTTCCTCAAATCGACAATGAAGACCTTTCAATCTTAAAAATGGGGTTTAAGCGATTAGAAACCATTAAATCCTTCGAACCCCCCGTCGCACTCGGATAGGACAAGACGATTTGCAAGTTTGTTGGTCCAGATAACGTGTCTTTTTTTTCTGTTACTCGTTCACAAAAGGCTTTTTCTCTGCGATAGGTCTTCTCAAATTAAGGCCGTGAAGATCTTTTCTAAGCGCATTCTTTTTAGCATTAACCACTACACTACCCATGATTCCAGCATTAGAGAATTTTTTGTTTGTTAGTTATGAAAAGGTATTGTAGGGTTCGCCTATCTCTTTCAATAAAACCTTGATGTTTAAATTGGTTTTTTTTTTTTTTTTTTTTTTTTTTATTTTTTTCACCACAAACCGTCATAGTTGCCTTTGGTGACTCTGAGCTGGGTATCACTATAGCTGTATCACGGTATTATTTACAGTGAGACTTTTCCTTCTAAATATTATTGAGATTTAGTCATCAAATAGAGCTTTCTATTTTACACTCTATCTAATCATGCTGAGTGTAAGAATTTAGTCTTTGACAGCCGAGTTCTTTTTCATGCGAAATTATCCTTGCCAATAACCTTTTTAAACCCAGATTTCCCTATAAATATTTTGACTTTTTACCTTTTTTTTACTTTTCTTTTCTTTCGCTTTTCTCTTTATTCACTTTCTATCGAATCAAGTAAAACAAAATTACATGATTGATGTAACTAAAGCCTGTTTTATGAAAAAAAAAATGCGTGTCACTAATGGAATCCAATAGAGAAACTCCAACAAGCGAAAGCGATTGACAAGCGCTATTCGATCGTACTTACCCTCCTGGTATGAACCAGTTGATCAGGAGAATAACAAAGGTAAAAAAAAGAAAGAAACACTTCCTTCCTTCAGAAAAAAAAACTTACCACTTGCATACTTTGTTTAGCAGACACAATCCATCAATTACAAATGAAGGTGGAAAAACTTGAAACTGAGAAACGTGATCTTAGTCTACAAGTAGAGCGATCAACAATCTCACATGATTTGTCAATCAAAGACAGCACAAAAAAAATTGCAAAGCTCATCAGTGAGCGAAACGTAAGTTATATCATCGATAGTACCTTGACAGATAAAAGTAACATAAATTATAGAATTACAAAGCACTGGCTGTCCTGAATCGAAAACGCGCAGCCGTGTCAACCCGGACTTTGACTGCAGTAAAAAAACTGTTTAATGATAATACGGTAACTTTTTTTAGCGATATACCACCTTCATGAGACTCATAAAAAAACTTTTTTTGTTTAAAAAAAAGGAAAAATTAAGGAGGGCATTCATCGAAAAGAGGGAACTCGAATATGAAGTCAGCCGACAAGAGTATTATCATAAAAATTATGTAGAAGAAAATGAACGTTGCGCAGCACAAAATAATGTGACGTTTAAATACTACCAGAATTTGACTGTCAAGCTTAAAGACGACGTAATATTTATAGAAACATATGCTGGATTGAGATTGTTATTGACTTTCTTCTATTGTATAGCTTCAGCTCCAGGAAGAAAGGGTTAAAGATTCCACAGCAAGAGAACTTGCTTTAATAAAAAGAGTTTCCGAGTTGGAAAGTCAGGCTGCTCAATCGGCTACAGGCACAACAAATGGTTTGGAGGACTCACTTACAGCAGACTACACACGTAAACATCTTCCCATATACACAGTACCACTATTACTTCTATATGTATCCTAACAAACCTTTTTCCTTTAGATGTTTGTAATAAGTTAGCTGAAATCCAAACAGAATATAAAAAACTCGAGGAGGAATTACAGCACTTTAAAAGCCTAAACCAGAATATCGAATATTTGAAAAAAGAAAATAATTCGTTACAAGAAAGACTGAAAGGCTTATCAGACATCGAAAAACAGAAGCTGTCTGTAGATATTGACAACGCTAATCTTCGAGCAGAGAGAGACTCTTGGACACGTTACTTGAGCACCGTTCCCGGCACAATAGTCTACAACTTGACAAAGCAAGCAGACCAAGCAGACTATTTTCAGACAAAAGCGACATTCTTGGAAAAAGAATTGCTCGATAAAACAGAGCTTTTAAAATTGATGGAGAACCACGTCCGTGATGTCAAAGTTGCAATTTTAAAGAAAGATCGGGAAAACGTCTTGTTGTGTGAAGAAAACAAGTTAAGCAGCGAGAGAGAAAGCATGCTTAAGGGACATATTGGTATCTTGACATCTCAGTTACGTCTCTATGATGAAGCAGAAGTAGCCGAGTCTGAAACGACTAATGATGAAATGAAGACGCTGCGTATTTCCCAGCTCGAAGAACTTTTTCGTAACGTCCAGAATAGATTCGTTGAAGAGGGTAAACTTTACATCAAGACTTTGTCAATGACTTTTTCTCCTCCCGTCGAAAACGGTCCTTATGAAAAGCTCACATCTGGCGCCAGAATCACCGAGTTCTTGGAGAACATTTACAATGATAAGGAATCAGCTCTCGAAGGTATTTAGAAATCATATTTTATTTTATTATTTAGATGTATAAGTTAATTGGTATTATGATTAGCTTTCACGGAATTTAAGAATGAAGTTAAGCAGCATTTCTCACTTAATTCTCGTATGAATACTCGGGAAGAAGAAATCCCCATCAAACAGGAATCACTTCCATCGCCTGTACAAGAATCATACCCATTCGTGGCACCTATCATCACACAAGAGCAATCACCGTCACCGCCACCTTTACCCACACAGGATATACCCTCTGGTACGCATGTGCATTCATTCGAAGATAATCCAACTTCTCAGATGCTCGCAATCCATCAAAATCATTTGAACAGATTAAAAAAGGAAAATAAGGACTTAATACAATTACGATTGGACGAAAACCCCAATGTCGACCTTGTGGTCCTTCCCAAAACAAGCATCATCAATCTTTCTAAAGAGCTGGATAGATTTCAAGCCGAACGTGATGTACTTTTAAAGCGTTTCGATAGAGCACACACAGTCTGGAATGTAAACTTTGATTCTGCAGACGAACCGGGACAGATGGAGGTCGAAAGAGTGGCCGAATATAATGATGAAGAAGAAGAATATGAAGAGCCGGATCATCATTTGGCTTATTTGGGCTACAAAAGCGCTCGACATGTGGATACTATGGATGAGGATGAACTTCAAGCGTATGAGGAAGGCTTGTCCGGATCCACGTTGAACGACTTGGAGGATGATGATTCTGCTGCAGAAGACGAACTAGATTATTATGAATCAGGGGATAGAGAATCTAGCTACGACGCTGTTATTTGAATTACGCATTATAATTTTAGCAGAAGGTGCACGAGACAACAAGTCTTGATAAAGAGTTTCTTAAGTTTTACTTTATATCCATTATTAATATACCGCCTATGTATTATCTCGCAATAAAAAATACTAGTTAAAAATGTGAATTAAGGACTGCAAGAAAGATTAACGCCAAAAATAGAAAACTAAACAATAGCACATACTGATAAATGCTAAATTTAATCTACGGGTACTGGCGACAAGTCTGCTGAGAGGAAAAGGTACTTTGCCAATTATGTGTGGATCAACAAATGACAGGTTCTTGATGAATGTCCTCTCTCTTTTGACTCGCGCTTATTTAAATATTACTTTCAAGAATACCCAAACAGAGGACCGTGTAAGTTGTGCTGTCTGAATGCAATGCTTAAATTTGTGTAGTAAGATATCTTAAAACTCATGAACAGATTGGAGACAAGTGTGTTACACCGTTGTCTATTTAGATCAAACAGGTCATGAGCCCCCCCCCCCAATTAATCTCGAGTTATCCAAAAAAAAAGCAAATTTCTGCTTGGTGTAGTACGATAGAAACCAAGGTCAGTATATGAGTCTTTTTGCGGTGTGATAAGCGATTGAAGGGCAAGAGAACACAGTTTCATAGATACGTCTGTATCAAACCAAAAACAAATCTGATTTTATTGTAGGAGGAGGAAAAAAAGGATTAAATTAAATGTATGTCTTGAGATAAAAGCTGCAATGCGCCTATTTGAACGACTTATGTAATCAAGTGAATGTATTCGGCAATATACTTGTATTCAGCCATAGCACCAATACCTGTATCTCCACAGGCCAATTTTTTACTGATGGGGTCCACAATGTGATATCCCAGAACGTCGCGCAGCACATCCATGTGCCTTGAGGTCAATGGATGGTGCCACATACTTGTATTCATGGCAGGACAAACAACGACTGGCTTTTTAACATCCCATGCTCTAAGCACGCATGTCTAGGCTCATAGAATAAATAAAACTTTACACCTTTCATGCTCTCTTTGTCTCTCTCTTACCAATAAATTGTCACACAATCCATTCGCTATCTTTCCCAAGGTATTTGCATCCAAAGGTGCAATCACTGCAATATCTGCCCAATTCCGAAGCTGTATAAAATTCAGTATCTAGGCTGTGATGAGATATGCTTAACGAGTACCTCTATATGTAAAATTGGATCTGACACTTTATCCCAAGTCTAAATTTTTAAAAAGGGTGAATAACCTTGTTTTTGAAAAACAAAAGATATTGAAAACACAAACACTCCATTCATCCTTCTCTCTGTAAACATCGCAATCAATGATTTCGTCCTTGATAAAGAAATAAGCTGATTCGGTCAGGACGACTTTCACATTAACATTAGGCGTCTATGAATAAAAAGGTCAATGCTAGACATAAAGAAAGAAGGCGAATCTCACTTGTTTCAACAGGCTAACAAGCAAAGGTACTTTGATAGCGGCAACACTACCCGTAGCACCAATGAGAATATTTGTCATGATTTTTTTTAAAAAAAAACAAAAAAATAAGTAGCAGTAAGGTTGTATTATTTACTCAGCGCTTAGGTCATCAGATGAAACAAAATGGGCTACAGCGCCAAAAAGGAAATTGGGCGTAAGTTTTGCATGATGAAAATCCCAAAAAAAAAAATTTACATGTTTAGAGGCAAGTGGATAATCGTTTTTTTATAGTTTCACTTCATCATACGATTTGGAAACCATCGCTTTTTTGAGTTGGACCCTGATTTATTTGGAGACCAGAAACCACCCGCACCCGTCCTCTCCCCCGCCTGCTCGCCATCTTCCTCCGCGCCCCCGCCATGTTTTGACTTTATTTTTGCGCCAAAATGTTTACATAAAAGAGAATCTGCTTTAATTACTTTTAGTCATAAAAGGTGATCCGGTTGATTAGAGAGAAAGGTGAACAGTAAAACCATGATGTCAGGGAGGGTAGGAGTTTAAGATCTTGTGTCACGCTGGTCTTCGGATCTGCCGCATAAGATTGAAGTTGATGTGTTTAAGTAATGAATATCATTTTTTATAATAAAATGATATAGGCGGAATGTTTCAAAAGGAGGGCAATATATGTACTCCCTTTTTTGTCTTAATAATTCTTTGCCTTCTATTACGTTATTGACAGACAATCACCTCTCTAAAAAAATAAAATGAACGCCCTTGTCTTTTTCTTTCCCACCCCTTTCTCTTCTTTCTCTTCATTTTTTTCTTTCTTTCTTTCTTTCAATCCGCTTTCAATATGCTTTCGGATGGTTTGTTGCTATTCTTATTTTTTTTTTGTTCTTTTTTGTTTTCTAAAGATACTATTTTTACTCATTTAGATACATACCATAAACCCTCGGCTCAATGCAGTTATTGCTTCAAGTCGATATTTACAGAGAATAAGCCAACACAACCAAAACCACGGGGGAACACATCAAGGTTCCATGACATGTTGAAATGTCTGTTGAAACCGATTTGTATCCGCAGTCGTCGAAAAAAGAAGACAATAACCGTACCAGAGAAATGCTCTTGTACTACCGTAAGCCATGTTACTCTGAACCAATCTTCGGATTCAATGACCTTTATCGATCTACCTTGGATTGTACCGCCCAAATATCACAGAAATACCAATATCAATGGTAAGATTTAACTACAACAACGAAATGACTTTTTTTTCGTAAACTAAAGATTAAATTCAAATCATTAGCTCCGGAGAATCATTGGATCTTTAGAACAGGGTGGACTCCACAGCCAGATCCGTCAGCATTGGTAAACACTGGATGGTGTAGCCATTGTGGGTCTTGTGTAAAAAGCGATGAATGCCCATCATGTGATTGGGACACAAAGGAAGAAAAATCTGTTTTTCTGTAAATCTCCCTCCCAAAACAAAAACTCCTTCAAAACTTTGCTATTCAATGAAATAAAATAACATTAATTAATTTTCGTAATCTTGTAAATTTCTGCAAACGTCCTGTGTCAACCGAAAAAAAAAAAAAAAAAAAAAAAAAAAATCCGCAGCACGTAACTAGATGATTCCCATGGTTACGAAGAAATCTGTTTAACGTTGTATGGTGGACATCCGGATACTGTTTGTTGCTTAAAGGCGCACAATACTAAAGAAAAGGCAATGTCGTACAATGTTTATTTTTAAACGGTGTGTGAGTGAGTGACGATCAATTATTAGCCGTGTAACAAAACGCACATGCTCGGTAAACTTATGAGTGGGAGCAACCCACCGCCGCACGTTAATTAAAGCATAATATTTCACGCACAAAAAAAAAAATGTCTTACTAGCGTGAGTTCCAAAAAAAAAAAAAAGATTTATATGTATCAGATAACCGTGTTTTTGTTTCTTGTTTCCTGGGATTATCTTGGCGGTGCATCCTAATTCGACTAGCAAAAAGATCTACCATTCAGACACGCAATGACGTGCATGGGACAATTTTTTCGTTTTTTTTTTTTTTTTTTCTGATGCATAGAAAAAATTCAGGTACACAATCAGAAAAATGTAAAATTTGATATACCCTTCATAATGACAATCAGTATTCCTTTCATAATTTTAGTCTTTCTGTGCAACTACGGGGAAAAAATTAACAGATATAAATGACTTGTTATTTTCGGAAGAGAAATCAAGTTGTTTTGGTTAGGATCAAACATGAATAACAAAAGAAATTCATGACCCACGGCTCTATTGTTTCTAACCCTGTCTATATTTATAGACAGATTTATGTCAAAACAGAGGGAAGGCAATGAGCAAGTCCAGGAAACTGAGTCTTTATGTTGTCCAAAAAAAAAAAAACTATTTATAACTATGGGGGGGGGACTCCAATGTTGAGTATTGTTCAGTCGCCGACGGGTAGAGACATCATCTTTTTTCTGATATCAGTTAGTATGCATTGCACTGTATTACTAGGATGGTCAATTTCAAGACGAAATAGGAGTTTTTGCTTCTTTTTTTTCTGTTGTATACTTAATAAGGAGGAGAGGGGCATATAAAAATTCAAAAAGGAGTGAACATATAACAGAAAAATGAAATAAAAGCGTGAGTAGCAGGTCCAGATCGCCTTTTTTTTTTATTATTATTATTATTTGGTTTGATTTGGTGTTACCTTGTACACTCACATTATTAGTTATTTTACCCGTTTGTAACTATTTTACACCAAATGTAGATTGCAAAAAACCTGGTGTTCCAATGGATAATGTGCCATAATAAGAAAGTATACACTCTTTTTGGAACTCCAATTAATGGGTTGGGTTTCTATTATGTTATAAATAAATTTTTCTTAATCCCGAACTCAATTTTTTTTTTTTTTTTTGATTATTATAAGAAGGGACCAAACTTTTTTTTTTTTTTTTTTTTTTTTCCTTTTTCCTTATCTTGAACTCTTCTTTTTCCCCCCTTTCACTCTCTTTTACTTTTCTCTTTTTTCCCTTGTACCTCAATATAAAATAAAGATATGGTCTGGAAAATCGCACTCGCAGCTGCTACTGCCTTCATGGGCGCCAATGCAGTCACCACTAACTACCAAAGTACCGTCGATCCCCTCAACATTGTACTTCCCGATATTCCTCAAACCACCTCTCTCGACTCAGGCGTTCAATGTACCTACTACAACAGCCCCAACGCCATTGTCCCCTCTGAATGGCCTACTGTTTGGGGTCCTGCTACCTCCAACGGTATGAACACCTCTGCCGAATTCACAGCCTTATACAACTCTATTGATTGGACAAAGGCTCCCAACTTCCCCGTCAGAAAGCTCAACGCTGCCGGTGGTCTTGACATGACCGGCTATGATGGTGCTACTGATCCCGCTTGTTGGTGGTCTGCCTCTACCTGTAAGACTCCCAAGACTGCTGGTATCAATGCTGATCTCTACGCCTGTCCTGAACCCGATGTCTGGGGTATTGTAAGTAGACCTTTTCTTTTCTATTGCAGATATAACATTTTCTAACTCTCTTCAATAGACTTTCGATGATGGTCCCAACTGTTCTCACAATGCCTTCTATGACTATTTGGAAAAGGAGAAGCAAAAGGCTACCATGTTCTACATTGGTTCCAACGTCGTCAACTGGCCTTACGGTGCCCTTCGTGGTGTCAAAGATGGCCACCACATTGCTGGCCATACCTGGTCTCACAAGATGATGACCACCTTGACTAACCAAGAAGTCCTTGCCGAACTTTACTACACTCAAAAGGCTATCAAGCATGTTACTGGTGTTACTCCCAAACATTGGCGTCCCGTATGTATTCCATATATATATAAAAAGGAGTGTCTGCATAGCCAGCTTACTAATTTTTTTCTTCTTTATTACAGGCACTTGGTGATTTGGATGATCGTGTCCGTTGGATTGCCACTCAATTGGATTTAACTGCTATTCTCTGGACCTTGGATACCTTTGATTGGGCAGCCAATGTCACACCTGGTATTACCGAACAAACTGTTGATGATAACTATGAAGCCTACATCAAGATGGGTACCAACGGTAGCTATGCCAACTCTGGTAACATTGTCTTGTCTCACGAAATCAACGATATGACTATGCAATTCTTCATGAAGCATTACCCTGATATCAAGAAGGCCTATTCTCACGTTATGGATGTCGCCACCTGCATGAATATTACTCAACCTTACGTCGAATCTGCTGTTACTTTCCCTACCTTTGACCAAGCTGTTGGAAGTACCACTAACACTTCTACTGGTGCTTCTTCTGCTAGTGGTGCTACCACTCCTGGTGCTGCCAAGGCTTCTACTTCTCCTGCTGCCAGTGCTGCTGCCTCCGTTTACACTTCTTTGAACGGTCCTCTTTTCATTGCTGCCCTTTTCGGTCTCTTGGTTCTTGTTTAAAAAAGATATCCCTCCCCCTCCCCTTCTTCCCCCCCTTTTTCTTTTTAAAACAACAAAAAGGGAAAAAGAAGAAAAATGTATTAAAACAACAAAAAAGATGAGCACTGAAAAAAAAGCAGAATGTTACATGTATCTCTTTTTTCTTTTTACTCTTTTAATTTTTTCCATTATATGTATACACACAAATCCTTTTTTATTAAAAAAAGATAATTTTTCCCTTTTCATCCATATTGATTTCCATTGGTTAATAATGTTAGTTTTTCTCATGCGATGTTATATTATTCATTTATTCACTCCATCTCGGGACTAGATCATCTTTTTTTTTTATATCAAACAAATTCTAACTATACCAAAGTAAGAAAAGTCTAGCACGTCCTTCCAACAAAATTGCAAGTCGGAGTATATTTTACTAAAGTCTAAATGGGAACCCAAACTTGTATCCACTTTGGCAACGAATACTTGACACATACTTGATTTTGGTATAGCCTCTACTAACCGCCAGAAAAAAACATATTCTTTTTTTGCCACACTGAATTCTGTAATGTTTATTCAATTGTTAGCTTAATACATCTCAGACGCTTTGCTTACTAGAGAGCCATTTCGCCCCAAGCCCCGGGTTAGCTTACTCTAAAGGACCTTTTAAACAAAAACTTGTGAATACTTTGCCTCTGAAAAGTCCCTTCTCTCCATGGTTTTATTATATACGAAGGGTTTGCTGCGATATCATCATGATCACAGACTACGGAAACAATCAAGTTTAAATAAAGACTTTACTGCGTAGTTAAATGAGCTTGTAGTCATTTTTTTTTGGGGGGGGGAAGTTAGGTTACTCTTGAAATATGCCACATGTGTACCTCCTTTATTGTGATATCATTCAGCAAACAATCAAATTTGTTACCCATATAACCAGATTATTATCGAGGGTTTGTCTGTATTTTGTCGGTTCCTGGTCATTTTTTTTTTTTTTTTTCACTAAAAGAGTATGCAGGTCGGGACGCAGCATAAAGAACCTTCTTTATCGAAAAACATACCCCCCTTCTTCATGCACGCCCTGTATGTAGAAAGCAACAAATACTTTTCTTTATAGATAAGCTCAGGCAACGCTTTCCATAAAATGTATCATTTAAGCTAGCATTAATGTCTTTGCTTTTACACAGTAAAATCCCACGTAGAAAGTGTTTGTTTTACCAGGTATTGAAAGAAAAAATGCCCAAGACCTGTCATAAAAATAGATGCCGGCATAAATTTATCCGTTTCCTAAACCTCTTGCAAGTATCGATAGATAGGCTTAGCTTTAAAAAAAAAAGAATGGTTAGGGGGGGGGGGGAGTAATTCAATAATCGTGATTCCCGGTACAAGTTCGTAGTACACATTAAAAAGCCGCTTTACAATTTAAACGAAAATAAATAAGACTCTTTATTCCTTGACCGAGTCAAACCCGAGACAGAAAAAGAGTCTTGTTCGACTAATGTTGTTTGCCCCCAGCGGCATGACTTTGTCAAGTGGGAACGCATATAACTCACAAAAGGTAACAACCCACGATGACTTTCTAGCTTTTTGGCTGTCCGCCCTTGTTTTACAAGAAACTCTAGCAGATTCTTGTTGATGCAATCTCAAATAAGAACATTTAGTATGAATGATATGAGCCATTTAATCTATTGAATTACCTTTTATTGTTGTTATTGGGTTACTATAGCGTAACTTGGTATCAAAATTAGCTCATATATGAAAACGAAATTAGTTCATATATGAAAACGAAATTTGATCTGGAAAGTGAAAAAAAAAAGACGTGTCTCCTATTTCTTTACCCGGGAATATGCACGAGTTAAAAAAAGATCAGTTATACAAAGTAAGAGGCGATCTTGATGAAAATAGGTAGATCAAATGTCTATTAAAAGATCTTGAACTCTTCGGTTTCACAAAGAGAGAGAGACAGAGGGAAGCTTTGTTATACATTTTTTCCCGACATTTCATGACCGCACGAGAAATATATCGAATCTGCTCCCAAACAATCAATTAGAATCGCAGCAACAGTTAGAGTTCTCATTCTCTCCGCAAAAGAGGCAGATAGATAAGCCGTAGTATTCTGTAACAAAATCGGCAATAGTCCGCGCTCACGAAACAATTTATATATAGCGTAGAGGTAAAACTATCAATACAAGTCAACCTGTTCATCCCTTGAATTTTATTATTCACTCAGTATGTATGCAGAAAAAACACAAAATCAATATAGAAAAAAAAAAAAAAAAAAAAAGCTTGTTTGATTAGGAATTTCTGGAACCAGAAAACAATGAAAATTATAATAAGCTAATATGGTAATGATGATGTAGCTGACCCTTACATTTTAATTTACACTTGTTTTAATATAAGAATAGAATGAGTAATTTGGGCGCTCTCATGGGTCTACGTAAGTTAATTGATAGCGACGTCGACTACAGAATGTCTCACTTATTCCAATCACTAGTCTATTTTAATAACGTTTCTATCCCATTTGAGCTTGAGCTGTTCTAGAACACTGTTTCCAGTTGTCATTTAGGAGCTTTCATTATTTAGAACATGTTTCCTGTAAAATAGAACAATAAATTGCATTCTGTGCTTTCAAACTTTATTATAAATCAGCTGCCTTATTAAAACGACTCATTTTAATAAATAGAGTTAATTTAGATGCAGCATCACGGACGGCCAAAAGATGCCTTTTTTTTGTTGCTGTCACCAACAGTTGACAGTAATACACTTATTTCATTCCGAAAAAACCTTTTCACCGTCCGAATCGTGACAGCAATAAAGAAGGTTTAGGACGAGCGGTTGCGGGTTTTGCGTTTTCGGATCGATACCCGTGCTTGTTACGCTGAATAAAGAATGATTGGAATCTAGTTTAAGCTTAATTTACTTCAAGAATACACTGAAAATAGTTTTCGGACACTGTAACAAAGTAAAATATGACGGAGGTTCATAAAAAATATATACATTTTCCAGTATATTACCTTTATTAGTGCAGCCCTATTATTTCACTGATCATTTCTGGTCATACATCGTATCTCTTTGAAAGCCTTAAGCCTCTATTTAAAATAACTGAATCGGCCCCTTTTTTCATGTCATTAAGATTACCAGCTCAAATTAAATCAGCTGCAATAACGATCAGAATACTGATTTATAGTCAATTACTGGCTCGAAAAAATATCGCTTTTCTTAGGGACAGCCAATTTTTCCTTAGGGACAGCCAAAGTGCACGTAGTCGCAACGTAAGATCTATGGTTTGGATGTTCTGTAGACATGGGAACAAGGATATACAATAAAAAAAAAAATGTAAAAAATACGAATAAATGTATATTAAGCAATTTATACTTATTTTGACAATTCTATCATCACTCTTTCGCCTTTGAGCTCGTTTGATCTTAATCTTACGCGGAATTTTTAAGGTAAAGTCCAAACGGGAAGCTGAAAGTAAGCTGTAAAACACACATACTGATTTAAACTATGTTAGTTGTGATAAATGTGTATATATTTTAAGTTGTTAAGTTCTATTGACCTCTTGATGTCTATAAAAGTATCATAATCCCAACATTACGACTACGCGTACCCTGGCTGTCCCTAAGAAAAATGGCTGTCCCTAAGAAAAATGGCTGTCCCTAAGAAAAATGGCTGTCCCTAAGAAAATTTGGCTGTCCCTAAGAGAACCGAAAAACTAATGACTGGGAACCCTCTTTGAGGCATCAGTTACTGGGCGACTCAAGCCTGTTGTATCTATGCTAGATAACCAAAATAAGAACTTCAAGCTATGTAACTAAAACATGATGGTAGTGCCAGCCCGATTTAAATTTCTTTATGCGTTAAAAAGATACAGAGAGACAGTAGTGTACAAAATATTTATTATTTGGTTTTCAAATGTTGTCTTAATAACACTAAATCAGGTTAAAAACGATGGGTAGATCACACACTATCAGTCGATCGCAGAATGTGGTATGTTGAGAATAGTTATGATACATGAGGTTTATTCTTTTAATTCATGTTATTGAGGGAGGAGGAAGGGAAATAAAATGAAATAAAATTGCGTTGTAATATTGATATGTTATGAAGAGAGGGTTGTTGTTGATTTATTCATTGATGTAATATCTGTTCACCCAATCACGAACAAATATGCTTGCTTTGGACAATCTACTGGATGACCATTTTTTGAAGAAGGCGTCATGGGTAAGAGGCTGAGACAGAAAATCTAACATGGCCTCCACGGTGGGTTTTAAATCCTCTGGTGTATAACCAGCCAACTTGGAGAAGTTTGAATTCCATTTACCTTTAGCAAGCATCTTCTTGGATAACCAGAGTGAGGCAGCAGCGATTTTAGAGGGACGGATACCAATAAACTTGTGATCCACACAAGAGATCTCCATAAAGTAATTTGCTAAAGTACGAGTATGCACATCACACTTTAACTCATCTGTACATACACGACGCAAGAAATTCACAGGATTAGGATAACAAAGTCGGAAATCCAAGACTTGCAAGATAAAACGTTCTGCCTTGATCAATTCATCATCCTTCACAGCATTATCCGTCATGTGTAAGAAATCAAACATGGTGGGAGAAATCATTTCTTCAAATTTAGCAGCAATAAACAAAGAAGTGATCCCAACCAATTGTAATTTACCAAGTACGACAGTACGTTGAGATAAGAATCGATCAATAATATTCACGGCTAAGAATAAAGTCTCTGGTAATAAATTGAACAAGCAATGAATTTCAATCACCCAATCCACCAAGACACTACGCATCTTCCAGGTAACTTCGTGTTGTGAGATCATCGCGTAAGAAGGGTCGGCCATACATTTTGGCTCGGCATCGTATAAATAACCAAAGATCTCTCCAGCATATTCCGCAACAAGCATAGGATCATTCCATTGGTGTTCTTTCAGTGTTTGTGTAGTTTGCAACATGGCTAACTTGGCTCTCGTTTCTTGCTCCTTATTCAAATCGAGAGTTTCTTCGTTTAACTTGAGATTCAAAGCAGGTGCATCAGGTCGGAACATTGTTGGTTCTGTAGATCGTAATTTCTTTTCGGCTTCGGGTTGAGGTTCTTCATTAGGTCTCTTGCTTCCTGATGTGGTTCCTGATGTCGACTTGGTATTAAATACAGGCTTCTTGATATACAAATGGCGCAAATGTTGAGGTACTTTAATTGGTAAAATAGGAACAATGTCACGGAAGCCTTCTAATTCAGGTTCATCGTTCTTGTATCTTGTTTGATTGTCCTTAAAAAATTCCTCTTTTAAGGATTCCTGGGTATCTTCAATTGGTACTGGGGCAGCTTCTTCCTTCTCCGCTACTTTCTCTGGCGCTTTACTGGCTTTATTCATTACTTTGTTGCTATTGTCAGAAAGACCTTTACGGGCTTCGTATCCTTGTTGCGATAATCCTTGTTGTGATAGTCCCAGCCCCTTTTTAGCGTTGACTGCTGCGAAGCTCTTTACATATTGGGTCTGGCTTCCTCCAAGTCTTTCTTCTTTTAGAAAACTGCTTTCGTTTCTCATTACGGCGTTTTCTCCCTTACTAACATCAAGTGTTCGTCTAATATTTTCCTATATATAAAAAAATGAGTTAATGAACCAAAAAAAAAAAAAAAGGGTCGGGTTGAATTTAAACCTACAGCTTGTGTATTCATTATAAGGTCGTTAATATAAGGAATGTATTAAGTATCGTCGAATGTCGTTTATTATATGTTTTAATCGCTTTGTATGGTAACCCTATCACAGAAAATGAAAAAACTATATATAAATGTATAAAGACTTTGCAACAAAGAAAATAAATGAACGAAAAAAAAAAGCAAAAAAAAAAGGGCCAAAGGGAAAAAAAAATTAAATTGCAAGTGTGTGACGTTGCAAAAAAAAAAAAAAAATTAAAAAAATAGGGAGTCGCGTACACAAGCGCGATTTCTATAAAATTCGTTGATTATTACTGCGATTATTCACTGAGTGGTTCCGGCTCAAATAGTCCCTTCTATACAAAATATCATCATCTTCAGCATAATACTCATGAGGTCTTCTACGCATATCAGGCTCTAATCTTTGGTATCTATTATATTCTGGTGGGGTATAATACGCTTCATCGTATTGATGATGATGATGATGACGGTGCACTTCCACTTCGTCTTCGGGATAATGGTGCACTTGTTCTTCATAATATCTCCCATCATCTTCCTCTGCATCTTCAGTGTCGGATTCAGGGTCAAGAGCTTCGTATTCAAACACTGTCGGCTCCTCTGCAAATGTAACCGACTTCTTTGCTTCCTTTTCAACAGCTGGAGCTTTCAAATAGCTCGCCGGAGTATCTCTTGGTGGTGTTGCAGCCGGAGGAATAGTCGCTTTTCTTTGTAGTCTTTGTTCAATTTGGGGGCTCATATAATGTTGCGGTTGTAATTGAACTGGCTTTCGTTTAATTTGTTGTTGTTGTTGTTGTTGTTGTTGTTGCTGCTGTTGTTGTTGTAGTTGTAATTGTTGCTGTAATTGTTGCTGCTGTAATTGTTGCAGACGCTGTTGCTGCAATTGTTGCTGTTGCTGTAGTTGTTGCTGTGGCAACATTAATTGTTGCTGGTGCAATTGTGGCGACATGACACGCTGATTATTAAATGCAGCAGGATTGTATATGCCATGAAAATTGTTGTTGGCATTTAATAAAGACTGGGCTGCAGCCATCACATTTACATAATTTGCATGGGGACTGTTATACATCATGGAAGGCTGTCCCATCATAAATCCATTATTCCCACCAAACATCATATTTGGGTTAAACATACCTGGATTAAACAACATTTGGTTCGGCTGCTGCTGTTGTTGCTGCTGTAATTGTTGCTGTTGTTTTTGCGCTCCTTGCGATGGCAGGATATCCGAGAAGACATCGACTGAAGGGATATTCACTTGAATAGGACAATCCGTACCTTGATTTGGTTTATGGGCCATTTTAATCAGTAACACGTTGTCCCATATATCCGCTGGCATCTTTTTGAATTTAGAAGCAGGTTGATTCTCGTTTGCATTACTTATATCCTGGTTATCCCGAAGATCAAGAACAACAATCTTAACTGCTTTGTCTGGGCGTTCATCCACTACCTTTGGTACTCGTCCTTCTACTTTAACTCCCGTCACTTTATATTATTAGTCAAGCTCGAATAATAAAGAGTTTGAGGGGGTTTTTTTTATTACCTATAATGACAGGCGGGATGCCGTTAGGTGTGGTTTTCCGAAGAATGTGTACAACAGGATCGGGTTTACGTGTTGAGCAATGAACATACAGTAAAACAGGATCATTCGGACCGCAAACTGTTGAACTATCAAATTTTGTTAAATTAGTGGGATCCAGTTTGACGAAATTGTGGGATGTGAAGTTTTTATTTTTATAAAAGGAGAAAGCGAAATAGAAAGAGAAAAAGGCTTTCGACCGAACAAGAAGAAAATCATCTAAATTAAGAGTGTTGTTTTGATACAATGATTTGCGGTACAAAAAATCAGTATTTCCTAAATAGATATCGATTTTTTATAGCTCGCCCAATCAAAGCGCTCTGGGTTCTGTCCAGCCAATCCAATGTTTCCCTTGGCAACATTTATCTCAGCCTAAATAATAGGGCGCTTTGTTGTACTTTTTAATTGTGTCTTCTCTACATTCGACATCATAACCTTATTATGATTGGACTTTTATTATTATTATTGAGCGATAAGATGTGCTTTTAGGCATAACTTTGTTGTATCTTTCTAGGCCCTCAAGTGTACTTTGATGGAGCATGAGTGATCTATTACGACCGTACATGACATGATTTCCTGTAGGCGATACTATGTTCTGGTCCCTTTTATTTAATGTGGAATTGTGCTTAAACCTCAGATGATGGTGACGAATACTAATTTTTAAAAACCCCCCATTCATTAAAAGGAATTCAGTCCTAACCCGCCGAAACTTTATCCGCAATGTGTACTCTAGTTTATACTTTTTCAGTACATGTATTTAAAATATTACATGGTCCTAATGTTTTATTTATCTTTGCCTTGAAGCAGATCTTGTAACATTGTTGTTATAGAATTGATTGTAATCCAAGATATCAACAAGACATAGGAATTGCATGGTTTCGGCTGAAGAGTAGTAATTGAGTGCTTCTATCAAAAGCTTCATATGGTACATAAATGTCTCTTCCATTTTCAACAATGCCCGAACAGTGGTATCGAAAAGGCTGGATGATGTCTCGCCAAGGCCTGCATTTGGGACACCAAACCTGCCTATACTTTGCTCTTGTTCCAGTAATTTTAAGAGGTCGGTGTAATTCTCGGCTTGTGTTGCAAATTGTAAACATGATGCCATCAATTTATTAAATATCTAGTTTTGAGATATGTCAGACCTTAATCATCATAATAGTGATACTAAAAACTTACGCGAAGTAGCTTAGAGTTAGTCAGCATGCACTCTTTCAAACAGTTATCTAAGAAATCGGAATGGTACTGCAACACTTGGTCAACAGTGGCAAGCGTTGTTAACTGAGTTTCCAAACGACAGTAATTAGGTTCCAACACCACATTTGTGACATAATAAGCAAATTGTTGTACAAATTTCAGCATTCTATTTCGAAGAGAGAAAATCTTGGATTTCCATTGTTCAATTCGAGGGTTCGTTGATCGTGTTTTCCAAAGAGTATTTTTCTGCTCAGTCCATGCCTTACATAATAAATCTTCGACGTGCTTCATTTTTAAGATGTGGCGAAATAAAAGCTGGTATTTGGTAAGCGCTTTACGTGAAATAATGAGAGATAGTGGGAATGTGACAGTATAATCTAACACCAGCCCCTCGTATCCAGAAAGGTCACTAGTTGGAAGTGCTGACATGGACGACATCATGCTGCTAGATAGGCTGTAGCTACGTTCAGATCCATCCCTTGACCCGTTATTATCTTTACCGCTTAAGCTGATGATACATAAAAGTTGATCTATCAATCGTAAAGGACTCATTGAAACCTTCACGTCTTCGTTAAAAGAATCATATGCTGATACAGAAGAAGGGTTTCGTAAAACAAGATCCATTAATGACTGAAGACGATTTTGTGGGATTTTCGAAATAGGTAGCTTTAATTCGTCCTTTGCCAAATCTAAAAATGATGTGAGGAAATCTGATTGATCAAGAAAGAAGTAATGTTTGATAGAGCTACTTAATATATTAATATCATGGGATATAAAGCATGATCATTCTTACCGTAAACGTTCAATCAATTGCTGGTCTTTCATTAACAGGTTTAAAAGAGTTTGATTTGCGTATTTATAAGCGATTTCTAGATTCTTAACAAATCTAAATCATAGTCAATAATGTAGTATATACTCGCATACACATCCTCATATATAACTTACTGGCTACCATTTACAGCCACCCAGACATCACTTCTAGTCGGCATAAATTGCCCATTGGTGTTTCCTCGTCCGCTTTCTGGGTTAAGACTTAGGTTTTGTACCAAGCCTGACATTTTATTTTGCATTTCCTCAGGATCTGCAATGCTGACACCACATTCGCGTACCACATTCAAATATTTACCAGCCAGTAAAATCTGCTTCTTCATATTATCAAGAAATTCAGGTACTCCTCCTTCACGAATCGTATAGCGCATCTCCCAATAAGTGTCATTATAATCTTCTTTAAGATTCTCCTTTTTCACATTTCTTTTTTCCAAAACCATAAATTCGCTGTAAGGATCCTTGATTTCTCCATGATATATCCATGCATTAAGTATTTCGAAATAAGGTACGGATGCCTTCGAGAGCAGGAAAGCGTAAATCTTTTTACAATCAGGATCCCTACAATAATCTTAAGTACATCCTGCCGAAAGTCGCGTTTTAGCTTACAGTATTACCCGCTCAATCCGATTAATCTTTCCGATAAAATGTTCAATATAGCACCGCCTTTACGTTCCACTGGGATTTGTGGCTCATCCGAAGTTTCTTCTTGTTGCAAGCCTTCTATCACAGCATCAATATCCTGATCGCTTTTGGGTGGAATCTGAATTGATCGAATTGTAATTGATAAATCGTGGAGAACCTTCATAATCTTTAATGTATCTTGTGCGTAAAACCATATTTTTTGGAGTGTGAATGTTGTGCTTGTTTGAAACTGATGCTCAAGCTGTGCAATGAATGATAAATATTCTTTCAAGAATACTTGTATAGCAGCACAAAGAGCATGGTTAATTGTGCCGTATTCAAATCGTGAGTAGACCTCTACAAAATCGTTCACAGAGGCATAATATGTTGCTAAAGGTAGAATCTTCTCTACCAAATGTTTTAAGCTAGGATCTACAACAAATAATTAGCTCGGTGGTCCCGAAACCTGTATGACCTATTTTTACCAAGAGTACTGTCGATATAGTATCTCACTGAGTTCCAGGAGTCGGCGTTCTGCTTTGGTAAGCTTTTCGATTCGTCCATGTATTCTTCGTTTGATTGCTTTGGAAACTGCCCTTTTACATAAACACCATCAATGCCCTAAATTCGATTGCAAATCAGTCTAACATTTTTCCATTCAATTGCTCTCAAAGTTTCCTACCGCTAAAACATATAACAAGTCCTCGATAATAGCATATTGTTGTATTTGAGCAGAGAAATCACCAACGGCTTGAGTTCGTAATTGTCTTCGTGTGCTTTGGTTAACTGAATAATTTTAGTAACGAATTCTCCTTTTTTTTTTTTTTTTACTGCTAACTTACTTGTAGTAGCCTCCATCGGAACCTGAGGGGGATTTGCTAGTACATTTAGTAGAGGTGTAGACTCGTGTCGGATATTAGCAAGTTTTTTACTAATCTAGAAAGTATATCAGTTAATACAAGGTCAGTCAATGTCTTGATCGTAACCTTACATTGCTTAGTTGATTAACTGATAACAGTGTATTGCTCGTATTACTATTTTGCTGATTCTGTGAAGAAGTCGGAGGTACTGTAGCTGATCGGAAGGGTCTTTCTGATCTAGTCAGGGGTGAATTGTTGGTTGAGCGATTGATACGCGACATAATGGTAAAAGATAGAAAAACCACAGTACAGTAGGGCGCGTACCCGAATTATGTTTTTTACCAAATTTATTTTTAAACTCAAATATGGTAGCAACGATGTATCAGAACAGCTCGGCAGTACTGACAACAACTGATTTATATGACGGTTCCTCCGTGAAGAAAAATAATACGTGCCACAATGTAATCATGTTGTATTATTAGGGTAAATTTCTCATCTAGGATTGGACCTTGCAGAGAATCGCATAATTTTACAGAAGTATAGCTAGCTTGTGGCATTACAATATTAGTCTTACTTTGACGTAGAACTGCTTATCTTGATCCAGATCAGAGCGCGCATCAAAGTGTCTTTCTTTTTTAAAGTCATTTAATAAGGTGGATCTATACTTCATAGTTATAGATAGGTTTTTTGATCTTTTGCTGCATATATGTTTTGACAAAGTTTAATTTGATTTGCTTTTGAGATGGGAAATTATCCTTGCTAAACATTGACAAGACAGCTTTATGCATCAACTTCTTATGTTATATCTCTCAACATACATATTTTATGCCATCAATCATCCAAAAAAAAAAAAAAAGAGATCGCTTTAGATAATTTATATTTTATCTGTATTCGTCATGTAACCTTTTTCATTTTATAGCGCCTTGCAAAGCTTGTGTGTGTGCCTTTCCTAAAACTACGTCTCTAATTATAACCAGAATATCAGGACAACACATGTACTCCTCAAATCTCGAAGTGGTCTGTAAGGTCTTCTTTATATATACCTATAAGCTGTCCCTAAATTTATCCATCCAAAGCTTTTAATCATAATAACAATTGAAAAATCATTTCTTACAGTGCATCTAAATCTTTTGGATTTGATAGCTTCTGCGACTATGGTAAAAAAAAAAAAAAAAAAAAAAAAAAAAGCAAAAATGCACTTTTGATTGTTCCCTTCAAAACTCCGAGTGAGTGATCGGTTTTCAGCCCAGTTTCTTTTTAGAGTCCTTTTTCTCTCTCTCTCTCTATCTTGCTAAAACAATAATGTCACAAACGGAAAACACCTTTAAAAACTCTCTTCGGAATTTTCAGTCGTCAAGAAGCAATCCTATAGCCTTACCTACAACTCCCTCACCTTTACAATCGTTCCGTGACTCCGCATCTAATGCATTTTCGAATGTATCCAATTCCGTACAAGGTTACATTCCTCTTGGCGGAAACACGGAGGAAGAGGAAGATCCCTGGTATCAATTATCTCGAGTAGAGGTTTGTTCAAGATGTATCGTTTTTATTAACCTTTGGTTAATCTCTTACTTTCTTTAGCGAGTTATGGCTTTTGCCCTTTGTCTTGTTCTTGGCATTGGTTGTTTTGCCTTGGTATGTGACTTATTTAAACAACAGCTAGTTTCATACTGACACACACTTTTCTCTCAGTCATTCTTCTTTTTACCCTTATACCCTGGAAAGTTTGCGGCTACATTCACACGTAAAGTTTTAACACTAGTAACACAATTATCTGATATAAGGCTGACATCATGATGTAAGTGGGGAGTATTTTAGTTTTAGTGAGCGTTGCTTTACTGCGTGGACCTTTATCACACATGCAACACATGCTGACAAAAGAGAGAATTCCATTTACGGTATCTTATTTGGGCTCAATGGCCCTGACTTTATATGCTGCTCTTGGTGTAAGTTGGATTTATCTCCATGCTGCATTAAAAAAAGTTACTGATATCTGAATGTTTATGTAGCTTCGAAAAACGTTATTGACAATTATTTTTGCCATTATTCAAATCATTGCTTTGCTTTGGTACGTTGGATCCTATATCCCAGGTGGTATATCCACATTAAGATATGGTACATCTTATATCGGAGGAAGAGTTGTCTCTATTTTACCCATTTAACATTGTACATACATATACACTTAATACAATAATTTCTCAAAAAAAAAAAAAAGTAACCATCCTTATTTATTATTTGATCCAGTTTTGTTTTGGTTTTTAAAGCGTTAAGTTGATCGCTGTATTATTACTTTTGTGTTTCTTTCGTTGTGGAGCAGCATCCCTACTTGGCCCTTGTTCATCTTCATACCTAAACAATGCCTTGGCATGTCTCTTTTGGCGGCCTACGGGTGCATGCTCTTCCCATTCAGCTATTAAACCGTCTTGTATTTGAATATTGTTCAACCAGGCCAACACCTCCGTTGCCGATTTACGATTTTCCGGTGACACTTTCAAGAACATCAATAAAAGCTCCTTGCTTAATTTTCCAGATACTTCACGATCTAGTGCTCTTTCGATGAGGTAATCTTCGCCGACAGTCTCTCTCAATCCCTTGAGATCTGTATCTAGAATGCCATACCATGGTTCTGTCTCTGAGAAGGTCTTCCATATGAGTGTACCGATCGAATAAATGTCTTCGGACAAAGGGTTGACGAGCCAAGGTAAATCTTCCGTGTCCGTACGATTTCTGGGTAATGTTTGTACTGACCGGTAGAGCCTGTATCCATGGTCAGGTTTGGATCGAATCCAAGGTAATTGTTGACACCAGATACTAAGATCTTCCTTTGTTAATGGTACGATTTCTCCGTCACCGTCGTCATGCTGTTCCTTGGGATGTTCTGTCCACCAACGACGCACGTCTTTTGGATCTGTAAATGTCGATTTTCCGAAATCAATTAAAAATAACTCGGCTCGACGACTTCCGTCACGTAATGTCTCGTTGGTTTCGTTCACCATAAAGTTTACTTCTGATAAATCGCGATGGGCTAAACCAGCATTATGTATTATTTGGATACACTCCAGCATCTGAATGATCAGATCCATTTTTTGGTGAGCCGTTAAACGGTGATGAGAATGTGCATGTGTGTACTGTTTCAAGGTCTTTTGGTAGCGTTGCATCGATAAACCGATGATCTCCCCGTGACTTTCCTGCAGAACCTCTGTAATTTGTCCCATATGCGGTAATCCCTTCAAGGCCAATAGACTCGCAATTTCTGTTGTACGCTGAGTGATTGTCATCCTTCGAAATGTCTGAACTACCTTTTGATTGTCTTCCCTTAAGAAATACACATGCTTGAAGAAGCCTTCTGCACTTGGGTAAGATGCGGTTTTATCCAAATAGGTGCTGATATCCACTACTGGAACATTTTTCTCTTTTGCATCTATGGGTGGGGAGGAGGGGGGGGGGAGGGGTCTGTTTAATTATCTTTATCGACCACTTTTTTTTTTAAAAAAAAAACTTACAATCTCTTAACTTTTGCCAAAGCTCTTTGGACGCATCGATATAGTACTGTTTATGTGTGTCATGTATTTTTGTGGTTTGAGTATCGGTATCGGTATTTTCCATATATCGTTCAAAGGAAACATTCGTTTCGGTCAATTGGGACTCTTCTTCCATGGGTGATGTATTTTCAAACCTTTCGTTCGCAGGTGATGTAGACACGGCATCGACGTAGCTTGAATTTTCCTCATGTATCAGACTTGGAGGATCTTCTGACTCTGCTGTTTTTTCTTTAATGGAGTAAGAGTTTATTCCCTTGCCTTGACTATTATCTGATTCGGCCGAGTCTGTTGCATCCGAAGAAGAAGAATCATGGGAGATGACTTTTGGTGGTTCGCGTTTCTTGACAATGAGGCGAATGGTAGGTCGTACTTCAGGTTCTTCTCTATTTGTTTCGGCATTCTTTTTTTCTACAGGTGGGGTAATGCGAATGATGTTTTTAGAAGGACCGACAGGTTTTTGGGTGCTGGGGGACCTGATTTCGATCACCGGAGAAGCTTCTGTATCGTATATGGATCCCTGTCGAGGCTCTTCTTTTACTATGGCTAATGAAGCAGAGGCTCTCACTTTGCCCTTGATTGAAGAACGTGGGGATTTAGTTGGTGTATGTACAGGATAAGGTGATTCATGATTTTTTCTGGTGATTTTAGCAGGCATTTTTGTAGGCTGCTTCTTTGGCAACTCCTTGGGGAGCATAGAAGAGGATGCAACGGGTTCGGTTTTGGACAGAGGTTTAGGCATCCTAGCAACGATATCGGTATCTGGTTGATTTGATTTTGGATTAATGATGGCATGTACAAATCCTTTTGCGATCTCATGATCACCCACTTTCTTCAGGTCGCCTGGGATTTTTGTGGATAATTTGTATGTGTTATAAACTTTTTTGAAGAAACTACGATCCATATCAGCGTTGATAACAGTATTTACATTTTTTACAACCTTGATGACACGTAATTTGAGCCATGCCTTAGGACAGAATTCATATTCGTCGCTTTTGTCCATGGAAGACTCATCGAAACCATGCGTTTCTCCCATGGGTTCAGATATGACAACAGTTGCCTGTAATCGGTACAAGTCCCTTGTCAATGGCTTGATCTGTACATTGTATAATACCGCTAAAGCGCCGTCGGGATCAGTACCTGCCTCATTCAATAACGTGCGATTCTTTGCAATGTAAAAACGCGGCAAAGGTACTGTGTTGTATTTGCTGGGTTCGGACAAGTACTGAAAGAAAGAAGCGTTCAAGTGCTGAAATAATAATCGAACGTTACTGAATCCTCGCAACTTTTTTGTATTACAATCTTGCTCGCTTAACGCTTGGACGAAGTATAAATTACTGGTGATTTTTTTTTTTTTTGTTATAAAAAAATTGCTGAAACAATCTATAATTGCATTTATATATCTTACCTTTTGCTAGGTGGGTCCATTTCTTTATACATTGGGAATATGATCTTAGGCTCTGGTTGTATTGCCATCATTTGTAATTTTTCTTCCGGAAGTGGTGTTTGGAAGATTAAGCTGATATCAGTGCTGGATGTCGAAAGATAAAAAGGTCTAAATTTTTAAGGGGGGGTTTAACAACATTGATACTAATAAAATATTAAAGAAAATCCTACTTGGGGCCTCCAGCAATAAAGTCAGAAAGAGCAGTATATCTTCTCTTGAGGTTTTCAGCTTGTTGGTAAATCAAGTCAAAGGATCGATGAAAGAGCTTTGCATTGTCCCAAATAAGACAAAGATCTTCAACAAAGGCCTCGTAGTTATGATACCGGTTTTGATACAGGTTGTATTCCAAAGTTTTAAAGTCCATGGGGTGCTTTACTTCAGTATGATATACAACAGCAGTCAAGGGAACAGGTGCTAAGAACTGAAAGCAATCGTAACAGGACAAAAGCTCGTCTAATATAAAGATGCAATGACGAAAGGCTTTAGCTGCCATTGTAACGCCTTGAACATGCAAGGTGTCACCCTCGAATGAATTATCTCGTTGCTGAATAAGAGACATATTTTTTTGTATCAGAGTGTAGCTGGGTTAGCAGTTGTTGGTATTTAAAGAAGAAGGGTCTTTGCCGTTTATCGACAACTCTTTTTTTTAAAACAGCTGTTTAGGGAAAAAATGTGTGTTGAAACCCGCCTAAATGGCCCTTTACCCAGCGCGATCTTTTTAAAAGTCACACGCACGCATTTTTATGCCCCCGTTGCTACTCTTACTTGGCGACCCTTTTTATCAGTCTCGGTATTAGTTTCTAAAGATACCACCCCACACCATGTTAAACGTGTTTCAAGAGAGACACCTACCCACTGCTGCTTATCCACTTCGAGGTTTTGCCCATTTCCTTCATCATCCTCAACGCCATGCAGGACCCATAGGTTTATCTATTCTCAAAGTATTCGGAACAAGCGCTCTTGCTATCATTCCCCTTTACAAGTATGGTTATGATATCCAACGAGATGTGATATCCATACTGTACAGAGGATTGATTACCGACTCCCCTCATATATCCTCGATTTTAGTAGCAGTAACGAGTTCAATCTTGTTCTTTCTGGAAACATCAGCCATCACTTTACAACTCGGTAGTCACTTCGTTGGATCTGTGCGAGAGCGCCTGTTTGACTCGGTCTTGAAAGAGCGAAAAGGTATGCCAGGTGATAACAAAGTTCAGGTCTCTGAACAAGTAGGTGGATCCGGTGTAACCTTGAATCAGCATCATTTTCTTTCTCCCATGAATCTAATGATTCTTAGTGCTGAAGTGGATGAATCCTGGAGTATCTATCTTTTGAAACCTGCCATTTTTGTGATGACATTACCTTTAAACCTTGTGCCTGTTCTGGGACCATTATGCTTCATCTCAATCCAAGCATTGTTCACAGGAGGTTCAGCACATCGGAGATACTTTCAGCTTTATAATTGGTCACCTGCGCAACGTCAAAGAAGAGTCGAAACATATTTTTGGCAGTATGAGCGGTTTGGTATTGTTTCGTCTGCTTTAGAGATGATTCCCTTTGTCGGCTATGTGTTTATGTACACAAATCAGATAGGGTAATAAGATATTATATAATGCTATTTTATGAACCTGTGTATTCAACCGTCTTATTTTAATGTTTAGAGCGGCTTTGTGGGCAATGGATCTGCACGATGCAAAGTTACTCAAACCTCTTTCCAAGAAAGAAATTTAGCAGACGCTAAAAAGCAATTTTACAATTTAACAGAAAATTTCAATAAATTTATTTGCTACAACCAGCTCTTTATGAAACTATGCACAAGATTGCAAGTTGTATGACTAGTCAATATCAATTATTAGAATGCGCGCATCAAATGAAATGACAAGAACGAGCTGTTGCACACAATATAAACACTGCAAGAAACTTCCCCGCAAACAAAACATTGAAAACCAGTAGTACTTTATATCTACGTATTAATTCTTTCAACAGGCGTCCCATCTATAAGAGACCATGCATTCACATCGTACTTACATCTACGTATATAAACGTATTTTTTTTAAAAAAAAAAAGAAAAAGAAAAAGAAAAGAGATAGTATGCTGATGCTGGTATATTATGGCAGAACTTTGATGATTTAAGTTTTTTTTTTTTCGATCTTATGCTGGCTAGAGCAATAATGCTTATCTAACTTGATAGACATTGGTACAATTGTTTATCCACTAATGCGTTATAAACCCGGGAAATTATGATTTAACATGGCCGTCAAAAAAAAAAAAAAAAAAAAAATGGCCGATACCTAAACACTTGTCAGCAAAATGATTAAAGGCTAAAGTCGTATGGTACTGGTTGAATGTGCATCGTGCCAGATTGTATAAATCAGGGATTTATTCTATACGCATTAATAAACTGAAAGCTAAAGTTCAAAAAGGGGTGTTTATGTCCTGTAGAGTCATGAGCATGACTTTTTTTACACGAAGACATGTTATTTAAGAATCAGGTATTCTTTGGCACAGTCCCATTATCAAAACATGGCCTGAAGTATATCTTGTATACAAAAAGGAGCAATCATAGCCACCAAGAAAAGTTTAATCTTAATGGGGCTCAATAACGTGAATGCTTTTAATAAAAGATTGACTGTTGACATATTTAAAGCTAAGAACGTAACCAACTCAAGTAGCCTATGTCGCAATCAGACAATGTTTTGTTTGTATGTAGGGGATGATTGTTTGCTGCTCATCCGAGCGAAATGGGGTAAAAATTAACATACACCCCCTTATCATCTAAAGGCAACAATGATAAGTAATATCTAAAAGATATTGGACCCACTCTTTCCACTCTTTTCTATACGCCTCTCTTATAAACAATGAGCTTTAAGTTTTTTATTGAATGAGTGCATAGAAAAAAAATATTATCGACTGTACGTTTTTTTGCCCACAAGCCCACCATTTCATTAAGACTATTTATCTGCGCCTTTTAAAGGAAAAAATTAATGTTTGTGTCTGTCAAGTACTAGCAATAAAATTTATAGATCAATCTATTCTCAATACCATGCTACCTATTTACAAAAATCAATTGAGGTGCATAGATGATTGATTAGTGAGAGTGTTTAACGGAGCATTATTACAGACATGTGAACCTTTTTTAAATTATTCATAGGGTGCTTTGATACCCTAGCGCTTTACAATATAGAACTAAAATTTGGATAAGTTGTATTGCGATTTTATAACTCATTAAGTGAGCATCATAATACCAGAAATCCGTCTATCTCTTATGGTTTTTAACAGAGCTACTTTTTTTTTTCTTTTTTTCTAAAAGCCAAAGTGGACGCTTTGTAAGTGTGGATAATTGTCAGATGCTGTGAAGCAGGACTTAATCGGATTTATAGGCTAACTTTGCGATCACGTATGCTTTCCACTGCTGTCAAACATAATTTGAGAAACTTGACAATCTTGTAGAGTACATGATATAACAGCATGGCAAATGCTGACAAAATATGTATTTTAATAACTTTGAATAGTGAAGAAAAGTGTAAACTGCCTATTGGAGATGTACTTTATATATTTAGTAAAAGATACGCTTTGGATTAAACATCCTTCTCTAAATGATATCCTCAGCATTCACACATTCTTTTATTATGTCTA